AGAAGCAACAAAGCCCACATGGAAGAAGCACACCAGTCTGTGTGATCATGAGGTGTCAATAGGATCAGGTATGAAGCATCAAAGACCCAGAACAAAAAATCATACCATTGTAAATGAGGGGAAGTACAGAGTGAAGACCCAAAGTCCATCTGTGGGCAACTGGACATCCCCTTACAGAAGGGTTGTGGGAAGGAGATGAGCCAGTCAGGGTGTAGTGTAGCACCGATGAAACATACAGCTTTCCTCTGGTTCTTTAATGCTTCCTCCTCCCACTATCATGACCCCAATTCCACCTTACAAATCTGACTAGACCAGAGCATGTACACAGGTACAGATAAGAGTTGAAAACACAGGGAACCTAGGACAGATAAGCCCCTCAGGACTAGTATTGAGAGTAGTGATACCAGGAGGGTAAGGGGAAAGTGGGGGGAAGGTAGGGGGAATCGATCACAATGATCTACCTATAACCCTTTCTCAGGGGGATGGACTACAGAAAATTTGGTGAAGGGAGACATGGGTCAGTGTAAGTCATGAAAAATAATTTATAAATTATCAAGGGTTCATGAGGAAAGGGAAGGGAGGGGAAAAGGGCTCAAGTAGAAAGAAAATGTTTTGGAAATGATGGTGCAACAGATGTACAAATGTGCTGACATTGGATGGATGGATTGTGATAAGGGTTATATGAACCCCCAATAAAATGATGAAAAAAAAACCCCCAAACCTGGTGATTTGCTCCTGGATAGATTAGAGCTGTAAACAAACTGTGTCCTGTAAAGTCGTTATGAGTTGGAAGTGAATCAGTGGCATGCAGTCCCAACAATAGCTATGACGTAGTCAGGGCTGTGTTGAGCCTGAGGCAGGTTGGGAAAGTACACAGAGCTACATGTGTTCTGGTCTATGAACGCTGGAATTCGCCATACTGATTGCAGACTGACCTTTCTTGAAATTGCGAAACGGTGTCCCATACAATAGTCTTTAGATCTGCTTTAAAGATAGCCAGTGACGGTAGGTGTCATTTTCTGAGGGCTTCGTTCAGGTCACACACTCTGCTAAGTATCCTTCTGAGGCTTTGCAGTAACAGGAATAAACTGTTGTCAACCCCTAACTTCCACATGGAGCTGGAGTTGGCTGGAGCTCGATCCCAGCCAGCGTGCTCTGTCACTGCTCCTGTTTACTGGTGGACACGTGGGACCCACTCAGTCTATTGAGCTGGTAAGGATCTGGGGACCTGTCGAAACTTCAAGCCAGGCTGCTGTAAGACCAGACTGCCCCTCACTTCCATTTAGGGGATTCCCTTTCCAGGATGACTTCTGGGCTTTTCTTCGTATGATGTTGAAAGCTTTTCTAGAGACTGGATTAAGTAGCACCTGCTTTCTCTTTTCTTCAGTCAGAGCTGAATTAGTGGAAAAGTGGAAAACAGAGAAAGAGGCCCGGCTGGCAAGAGGAGAAAAGGAGGAGGAAGAAGAGGAGGAAGAAGAGGTCAACATTTATGCTGTCAATGAGGAGGAGGTATGGGCTCAAGGAAGAGGTATGGGCTCTGGGGAGGGGTGGGATTGCCTCGCTGTTGAATTGGGAGGTGAGGGGTGGGAACAGGAAGTTAAACTCAATTGCTCCTGACTCAGTTGCCTTGTCTGGAAGATGGATATGAAAACGACGACGTCACTGGATTATAGGGAGGTTTTCCCTAAGGAATGGCTATGAGAACACTTTATAAATTGTGCTTTACCCCAGGGATTATTCAGTTATCAGACGAAGGAATAACAGTGGAAATTCTTCAACAAATGGATGTGATGCCCAGAATATTATTAGACAGCTACTTGGCTAACCTATTGGAAACAGATCTAAA